CGGGTGGCACAAGAGTTGTAGGAGAGATGTGTAGCCAGCAGAGCTTGTTTTGTCTTTCCCTGACCTCTACATAGGAGAGCTCCGCCCTTTCCCGTATCCTACTCGTCCATGTGCTATATCCGGCTTGCCCAGTATCTCCAGAAGCAGTCCCATTTTTTTCCTATTTGTGGCATGTTATCGCCTATACTATACCAGAAGATAGTTTGTGACACAAGACACTTTGAGAAACCTTGCAGCTTAGAAATGTTTCAGTGGAAGACACCGCAGTTCATATCAGGGAGGATAAGAAGTTGTCTATTACTCCTCATAAGGAGGAGTGTTGCACAGTGAACCGTGATAGTAACTGCTGCCTATTTCAGCATACTAATATTTTTCAGTTCTGGTCATTTAATACTCTCAGGCAAAGAGGTGAGAGTAATGTAAATGTTTGCAGCGCAGTTTGTCTGCTCTGAACTGTGCTTAAATAGTGGGAAGGACTGTTGGAATTTCTCTGTCCTGGATCTTGAAACACTGGGAGTAAAAACTGGACGTTATCATGAGTACTAGCAAAATGTAGCTTCGTTAAATTATAACTGTGTGAACTTAAATTGAGAGTTTTAAGGATCGGGTTAAGAAATCTTACACTGAAGACATTTTAACTTGTATATTAGATGGAACTAGATGATGTTTAAGGTCCCTTCCAACACAAGCCATTCTAGATTACAGATTTTAGCAAAGCTTTTGTAGCACAGGTTTCTGCCAGTGAGAGATGTCATGCTGTAGGTTTGCTAAAGGATTTGCTAATTAAAATTAATTCTCATGGGCAGTCAAAACAGTATTTTGATAAGAGTTGGTGTTTGAGGAAACCAGTAGGAATTTATGAGTTGGAAAAGAAAAGCTTTCATGTTATTACTTCTTTACCATCTGTTATCTTTTTCTGTGGGTTACAATAGATCTGAAACTGGGTGTTACTCTGATTCTGCAGAATTTGTGACAGTATTTTTAAGGTGGTGTGTGTCAACGTTAGAAT